AGAAATAATTAATAATTTTTACTACTACTTCTTTATGTTTTGTTGGTTTTTTTTTAATCAGATTAAAGTATTACAAGGTTGATCCCCTTCCAGACAGCTTGGTTGGCTGCATTGTGTTTCAACACTTGGATTTTTCCCACAAAAACACCATCACTATATTGCAGAAATTTGATCATAGGCCTATACATGCTTACACAGAGAACCTTGAAAATAGCAACCCCAAGTAAGTTTTTCCCATAAAAACAAAATTCCATTTGAATATTACAGCTGATAGATAAAATATATACTTACTACTTCACAATTAAGAAAGCCTATGCATCTTTAATGCATATTGCCCCTGATCATGTGGGAACAAGGAAGAACAAAATCTTTAGAAGTTGAATTATTCTAAGAGCCTATTATCATGGTGTAATCTTATTAAAGAAAATTCATGCTGGTGTAGCCTCTTACCTTCACCACTTACAGAAGAGCCACGTGGTGTAGTTCTGAGTGCACAGAGATAATAAAATTACAGTGAATTACGTGGCCTGTGTATGGCCAAAGGAGCATAATTCCACCCCTTCGAGGAGGGTTGCTGATTTTTCTCAGGAAGGCGACACCAGTACTACTCAGTTACTGTTGCATAAAGGGACTATTCATCACTATCTGCAGACAAGCAATTTTGGAGAAGATCTCGGGGCTGCCAGTGCAGAAAGGCACAGCTTGCTGCCACGGCTCGGCCCACAGCCAGTGCTGCCCTCCTCAGCTTCCACAGCCTTGCTGGCTGTGCCTGCCTGGGTGTGCCCTCCCAACAGCCCAGGCACTGCCAGTGTCCCCTGACACAGCCAGCCTGGCCTGTGGAAGGTGTGGAATTGGATGAGCTTCAAGGTCCCTTCCAACCCAAACCATCTTGCCCACTGCTCCGGCTTCCCCACGGCTGTCCCTGGAGCTGGGTCAGGGTGCTGCACACAGGGCAGGGAAATCCCACCTGCATTGGGGTGATAATGGGGACAAAGGATGCCACAAGAGCCCAGGCACAGCAGGAGGCCAGAGGAACCTGTCAGCACATGTGGGGGAGCTGGACTGGCCCTACAGCTCCACTTTCCACTGGTGAGGTCTGAGCTGCTCCAGCCCACCCCCATGCACAGCTCCACCCTGCTGAGCCAGATATTTGGGGAGAGGATGGGTGGCACTGTGGGGTTTGGGGCCAGCTGCTGTCTTTCCTAACCAACCTCTACAAAAGGACTTTAGCTGGTCATGAGTTAGGGATGCACAGTCCAGGACACATGAGGAGAGAGCTCTGCTCACACGTCCCTTCTTGCATACATTGTCAAGTGTGAGAGGTTTGTTGTAAGAGGCTGGGATTATCCTGCTCACTTAACTTCATGTAAACTTTTTAAAACTAACATTTCATTTCACCCTTGTACTAAAAGAAACGTTGGCCTGCATTCCTGCTTTGCAGATGATCACACTTGACACTTGTGAGTGAGGAGCTCATTTAGCCTTGCGAGGTGCCTCTTGTTCTTTTGGGTCTGCACATGTCTCCAGGTTCAGTTTATCTCAGCTAAAGTGGATTTCCTTTGTTTTATTTTTTTTTCCTTTTTTAAAATATCAAGTTTATGGATCTGTGAAAACAGCCATACGTGGTTGGCTGCAGTTCTGTTAAACACTTGAAGATATTACTCAGCTCCCCTGTTTTCAGTGGAACTGAATGCATTTATTCTGATTTAACAAAGCATTAATCTTGCCTCTTCCTGAATCTGTGCAGGGTTCAGTGTTCACCATAACTCCCTGAAACAGCTGTAACACCAAATAAATGTGCCTGCTCCTGCTTGGTTCTCAGCACAAACTGCAATTAGTGAGCAAGGGCTTCACTCAAAATAATTTTTCTCCCATTGTCTGCCCTGAAGCTGGAGCGGAGCAAGAGATTGGAAGAGATTGAGTCTGGCAGCAGTGTAGTTGAAGGCACATCCCTGCTCCCTGCTGTGCTCCTTGAGGATGTGTGTTCAGAAAGCAGGAGGCTTTAGCCACGAGAGCCATGTATTATCACCCTTTGAATAGCCTGTATTGCTGTTCTCCTACAAAAACCCGGGGAAGGCTCTTTATCTAAAACCAGAATTGCATGAAAATTAGCTGGGGCTGATGAAGTAGCATCTGTGGTATCTTTTTTTTTAACCCTGCTTTACCTCTCCTCATCTCAACATGTAAATCTTGTCACTAACGAGATTATTGGCACAGAAACCTCAGGAGCAAAATCTGTGGCTTTTGGAGGAACACAGAGCTGGAGTTTTCTCAGTAAATCACATTCAGGCTGTTCAGCTGCAGTGTCCTCCTGCTCTCAGGTGTCTGCTAACTTCCCCTGCTCTCCCCAGGGTTACAGGGCCATGTTTGCATACACACAGATACAGACTCACAAGCATTTGAGGCTTCTCAATGTCCCAGAGTCCTGTCTTTGTCTTGAATTAGACTGAATCACCTTAGAATCACAGAAGCATTTTTAGGATGAAAAAGACCTCAAGGAGTCCAGCCCCAGCACTGCCAAGCCCCACCTGAACATCTTTTAGATCCCTCCAGGGATGGTGACCCCAGCACTGCTCTGGGCAGCCTGTCCCATTCTTCTCCTTAATTTGTCTTTATTTCAGGGTGTTGTTTGGCCATGCCCTCTTCTGGCTGCAGGCTCTCTCCTCACTGTGCTGCCACAGGAGTGACATTATCTTATGCTAAAGAGCTCACCTTACAGCATCTTCTGTCCCTCCAGCTCCTGGCAACCTCTTTGGCACATAATTAGGTTTACTCAGTGCTACTCCTCCTCTCTGCTCAGTGGGTTGGGTATTTCTCTTTGCAGAGGTGATGGTTGCAATTCAACCCTCACTGGGCTCAGACCCTCTCTGCCCTGCTTGTAAACTCATACCACAGACTTGGATATCAGGCAAACAGGATTCCAAAATCAACCTCCAAATTCTAGTGTAAAATCTTCTCCCTCTATCAATGCAGGGCACACCCAGACCTGCAGAATCGAGGACTTGATAAACTGAGTAAACACCAGCTACTGACTGGGTTATCATGGCCAGTTAAGACTCTCCAAAATGAGATTATCCTGGAGCTGCAAAACTCACAGATGTCATGCTTCTGCCATGGCAGGGCTCAGCACTTGCACAGTGGTGTCAGAGGGATTTGGGATGATCATTACCATTCAGGCAGTGATTTGGGCAGAGAGAGGTGACCAGAGTTGCCATAAAAATAGTGATATGCTGCTGTGTCACAGTCTGGGGGCAGCTGCCTGGCCCCAGTTACTGATGTGTCATTGGAGGTGCTGTGACACCAAGACCAGAAGGGTTTGCACTGTCAGACTTGCTGCAAGAAGTCCCACACCTCAATCCTGAGCTGGTGTGAGGTGCTGCTGCGTGGCTGTGCTGAGCTTGGTTTGCTCCAAGTGTGACCCAGATGAGATGTTCTGAGGACAGGAAGCTTTAGCTCAGACTGGTCTAAGTGTCACCTCACAAGCTGCTTGGTGACACCCTGACTCATAACCACACGCTCTTCCTGAGCTCACGCATCTTCCTCCCCAGCCCTGCCCTTGAGCAACTGCTGCTCTTACAGAGCCTCTCTCCTGCTCCTCATGGCCAGGAGAGCACAAGGCAGCTGCACATTCCCAGCTCTCCCCACAGATCTGTCTTTTAGGGGAAGCCAGGTTAGAGAGCAGATCCCTTCCAGCAGCTTCTGACCTGACCACACTGGGGGCACCTGGAACATTCACATCTGCTGGGCTGTTCCTCAAAAATCAAGCCTTGACACCAAATGCATAGAAATGATGCACCAGCTTATCAATGCCTTAATTGCCTGTGTCTTGCTGTAGTTTTGGGATCCTGTTCCCCTTCAGAGATGAGTTTGCATTTTCCCTGTGCTTTCCCAAGGACTTCCAGGTGTTGTTTCTAAACAAGGAGGGTCACTGAAGACAGCTGAAGGTCACAGCTGGGAGAAAAGGGATCTCAGATATTCAAAAATCCTTTTTGTGTTGGCTGGAGAGGCCTCAGAAGCAGTGAGTTTTTGACTCTGCAAACTCTGGCACTTCTGGTAGGAGCTGGGTGGAGACACCACCTACAGCAAATGGCTTTCTCCTGCCCCAGGAGAGACAAAGAAAGGGCTGTGTGTTTTGTCTTAAAGAAGTGCAGAAACGGGTGCTGCCAAAAGAGTGGAAGAAATTAGGACCAGTGCTTTTCAGGGAGAACACCTTTTTTGAAATCCCTTCTTCCTCTGGCATTAAAAAGTTGGATTAAAGTAGGTCAGTTCCTCTGGAGCTGAAAGGTGAGAGGCAGAGCTGCAGCACAGACAAGAGCTGCAAGCTCTTCCTGACATGTCAACTTGAGCTCTGCTTCACTTTTCTGATCAAAGCTGTCCCTGGCCACTACTGCTGTACCAACACTAAACACCTTTTACCTGTGGCTGCTGGTAGCAAAGTGTGCTGTTTAATCTCTGTCATCTATTGCAAGATAACAACAACCTCCTGGCCCTCTGTGCCCAAAACAAGGCAGAAAATGGCACCTCTTGCTCAGCAATTAGATATGCACAAAGTTCAGAATGACAAACTCCCCCTTCTCTTCCACAGGCCACAGGGCTGGAGGAGACAGAGGAAGTCAGGATTCAGAACTGGAAGGCAAGGGAGGAGTAGCATGGAAAAAACAATCCAGATCTATATTCCCTCTATTTCTGACAGCACAAGAAAATCATATCTGGATGCATCCTTTGAAGTACCCTGAATTCCACTCAGATGAAGAATCTAATTAAGTGCTGCAGGCTTTAGACGACACATTAATATTTTCAACAGTTTGATCCCAAACAGCCATTAAAACTCTTTCTGATATGTGCTAATATGTGTTACACGTTTTTGTTTTAATTAGAACAAGATTGTAATCCATACTTCAGTTAAGTTCATTACACTTAGAATCTTAATGCAATCAAAAGACCAATCAGTCATTAGCTAAGTCCATTTTAATTAGCATTTACAGAAAACTTTTAATTGTGTGCCTGTCCTTCACAGCAGGTGATGAGGGAGGTGAGGCCTTTCTCTCTTATGATGAATCATCTCAAGCTCTATATTTTGTGTCCCTACCTCATGACCAGCTAAACTCAGTTTGAAGAGGTTGCTTAGGAAAGACAGCAGCTGGCCCAAAACCCCAAACCCCACAGTGCCACCCACTCTTCCCCAAACAGCTCAGCTGGGCTGGCCCAGGCCAGGATGGCATGGTCAGATCTGGCCAGTTTCATGGTGGTGTTTTGGTGGAAAGTGGAGCTGTAGGGCCAGGTCAGCTCCCCCACATGTGCTGACAGGTTGTTCTGACCCTCTGCTGTGCCTGGGCTCCTGTGCTCTGTCCTCACATGTCCTTGTGCTCCTGACGGCCCACCATGAACCATCTGGCTCTGAGTCATCACCTGCCCCTTGCTGCACTCCCTGGCACAGCTACAGAGGAAACCTTCATGGAAATCTCTGCAAAACCTGAAAAGGAAAGGAGGTTGCTCAAATCAGGCTGAAAAGCATCATCTTTCCAGTGCCCAGCATTCCAGCCAGGAGATGTGCTGCCTTTGCTGGAACAAGTAGATGAATTTTTCAGACTTCCCTGAAACCAATGGCTAAATCTGTGAAGCTCAGGATGACTGTCCTATCCATCCATCCATCCATCCATCCATCCATCCATCCATCCATCCATCCATCCATCTCTATATATGTGTTTATGTATGTATGTATCTGGGAACAATGTGGAAACTAGACAAGGAAAACTCAAATTGGAGCTGCTGTTGGACAACTCCCACATGGTTTTTGTAGAGCACAGGCTCCTTTTGTCTTTTCCCATCATGGGACAAGATGTGTTTGGGACAAGGCTCCCCACAATAGGAGAGGATCCCCCTCTCCCTGTCCCCACCAGCCCACAGCTCTCTGAAAACCCAAATGCAGGATTTTGTTGCAGGACTATAAATGGTGAATTGCACAGCCCAGGAAGAATTAATTTTTATTCCTTTGCTCCTCAGTGCAGGCAAAGCCAAACTCTCCCTGTCTCCTGGGACTGCATGTGAGAGCCAAGGGCTGTGGGCTGATCCCTGAAGTCCCCAGGTATTGCTGAGTGAGGTGTTTTATTGTGTAAACCTTCCTGAACCTACAAATGAGGAGGAAGATGTTAGAACAGAAGGTTTGCCATTGCACAGCAGCATTCTGAGAGCACACCCACCTATCCCTTCTCAGCAAAATTATTAATGCTGTAATTTTTGTAGGCTTTGGGTGCTTGATAAATCTCTAAGTTATAAAGTGTCACCTGGAGGGGTCCCTCCTACCTCCCCTTTCACTCTTCTCAGCTTTCCAGCTCTTGTAACCAGGATAACACCTGAATAGCTTCAGGCACTGCGATCCCTTCCTGCAAAGCATCCAGTTGGTTTTCTTTCACCTTCATTCCTTTAATCCCCCTTCCCCCAAAATGCCTGTTCCTCAAGCTCTGCTCACTCATTCCCAGGGAACAGGATAACCAGTAACAAAGTGACTGACACCATTTTTCCTGGAAGGAATCTTTTCCCTGGCATGGGGCAGCACAGTGGTACATCCCACCCTGAAAACACAGTCCAGCTGCACCCTGTGAAAGGGATTTAGCTGCTGGTATTGGAAAATTTGCCAGCATTCTGGGCTAAGTTTGCACCTTAAAAGGCACAATCATTTTCATCTTTCAGGGTTTGTTGTTTGGGGTTGTGTGAGTGCTTGCAAAAACTCTAAAAGCCATGAGCTAAATTGGCAATGATTCCCTCCCTCAGCCCTCTGCAGTGGGGATGTTTTAAGAGCAGCACTGAGGGATTGCTCATCCTGGAGGATGCTGTTCCCCCCTGAGCTGGAGGCCAGGGGCACACTTGGAGGCTACCAGCTAGCCCTGGTGGCAGCCAGGCTCCCTGACAGCCCCTTGCAGCCTCAGGGGTCACCAAGGCACCAGCACCCACTGAAACCAGCCACCAGTGCCACCAGCACCTTCAGCACTGCGATGGGACCACACCACAGCAGCATCCACTGGCCCAGCTGAGCTCTCTGTTTGCCACCTCAAAGCCCTCAGCAGGGCTTAATCCTGTTTTCAGATCTAATCCATTAAACAAATGCATTATGCAGATTTCTCCTGGAGCTCCAGCAAAGCTCTGTGTCACATCTCTCTGTTACACAAGATTTTTTGCAGTGGTCTTGCTCTGAGCACAGAACATATGAAAAATCTGCCTGGAACAGACCAACCATCCTGCAATTTCACACTGTTCCAGCAGGACCTCCAGCCATGGACACTGCCATGTGCCTGCCATGCTCTGCCTCCCTCAAACCTCCCCCAACAGCTCAAATCCTGCCTATCCCAGCCTGAAGAGACCAAAGTCACCTTGAGCAGGTGAAGACTGAAGAGTACAACCCAAAGTATATGTGGTATCTATAGCCTAGTAAAGAGGGAAAGGTATTTTTTTTTTTCTTTTTGACTACAAATAGAGCAGAAGACAAACCCAGTAGGAAGAAATTCCAGCTCTTTCCTTTTAATTGAAAATAGATCCACAAAATCCTGCTAAGTCTAGTGGCTAATGCAAGCACTGGGAGGCAGCTGGAATACACTTCCCAAGGGCAGGATACATTACAATCATTACATTTAAAAGTCACAGGGGTCTAAATTTAAAAATAAAAACTACACTGATGCTCCCTCTTCCTGTACTCACTAACTACTCCTGACCTCTTTCTGCTAATGTGATTTTGGAGTACTCCCAAAGAGATCAGAAATAATGGTGAGTCAGTGATGAAGTTTTGAAGATGTGATGTGGCAGTGATTGGATTTTCCAACATGATGTGTCAGCTGAAGTCTGGCAGTGTGCTAGACTGCTGGTCGTGGGAAATCCTACAGGTTGGAGTCAGGAAGAGAGATTTCTTCATGTCTGGTGGATCAATGACCTCCAGCAATTTTCCTCTTCAAAGTTTATAAATAAAGAAAAAGGAGGATTTCATCTCCCTACTAAGCAGGGCACTGCATATGCAAATATTACACATATGAATATAAAGTAAACTAAATTCAGACATTAAAACCTGCACCTGAAAGTCTATAATTAATTTTTCAATGCATTTTTCAGGTGAGATAATGGCTGAATGGCCAAAGGTGAGCAAAAAGCACCCAGTCCCTACCGCTGGGTGGAAAACTGGGCACCACGCTGGTGTCACTTAACACTGAAGCAAAAGAAAAGCAGTGCACAGGTTACTTTTATAAGAAGCTTGCTTTTTTTTACAGGAATATCTGCTCCAGAGTTGTTGGGAAATGGGACTGTGGTGAGTGGAGCTGTGGGAAAAGAGCCCTTGGAGCCAGATCCAGCAGAGGAACAAGATGTCTGTGATGCCATCTACTGGAGTGGTGGCTCCAGGGCCAGGGACCTGCTGCTCTGCTGGAGACAACAAAACTAGGGCTTGTTCCCGTGTGGAGTTGCATGCTGCAAGTGGGATACAGGCTTGGGAAGGCTGCCAGGTCAAAGTGATGCTCTACAGGAGCCATGGGTGCAGTGGGATTTCCAGCAGCAGAGGTTTTCAGAGGATTTCCACTCCAGGAATGCCGGTCCTGTGAGCCCACAGATGCCCAGGAAAAGCTGGCAGGGAGGCAGAGCCCAAGGAATGCTGCAAGGCTCGACCTGCAGGAGATAATGGCACTCCTAGGAGTGAAGAGAGGGGACACAGCAGCTCTTTAAGGGAGGAAGAGCTTTCTCCATTTTCAGCTATAGTCCAGTGCAGGTACCAGCCTGGGATCACACAAGGCTGGGCCTGTAAATGACAGGAGAAGCAAGATTTGGGTGGTATGTCAGAAATCCCTGGGATTTTCCCATGAAGGCAGGCCAATCTTCATCAAGTCACTGCACAGCACCAACTAACTCTTCCTCCTCCTCCATGTGCCTGTCAGTGCACCAGAAATTTCCTGTCACCAGCTTATGACAGGAAAAGCAAGGCTCAGATCTCTGCTTATCTCACTTGTGCTGGTGCTGCTTCCCCTGTAACAGTACCAAAATCACCAGATTCTGCTTTATGGAGATATTCTGCAAGAAAGAGAGACAACACTTGGGTGATTTCTGAATCCTAGCTACTTTAGAAAAATGTCAAATGCCAAATTTCACTTCCTGGGGTGATTATTTATGGGAAGTTGTGCCTTTTCTTTAAGAACCGCAGCAGGTAAGATCAAGACTGGCCCAGGGTTGTTTTTTTCTCCGTCCCAGTAATTATGATTTGCAGATAGGAAATTGCTGACGAGTGTCCCCTTGGATGGCAGACCCAGCAATCTCAGGATAAAGGACATTTCTCCCACACTACCTCCCAAAACAAGCTTGACAACATAGCGACAGCCACGTGGGCTGGCTCCTCCATAAGCCTGCCAGCTCCAGGGAGGATCAGCCCTGTGCCGAGCCCTCCTGTGGCTTTACAATAGTGCTGGGCCTTTGGAAAGGTCCTCTTTCATTCTGCTGTGCAAAAGATCCAGGAAACAAAGGGAGGGAAAGAATTGGCTGCCATGGGGAAGAGGTAAAGGTGGAGGCAAACAAAATGTGGTCGCTGAGCAAACTGCAAACTTGGATAAACCATGAGAATTAACTTTTCTCTGGTCTCCTGTAACTACATGAAACTTCCCTGTTATTTGAAAGGCCAGCTGGCCAAACCAGATAGAGGAGAAGCCTAAAGTAACAGCAGATCTTCCTAATTCCACGCTGCCAGTATCTCCAGTCCAATAAAAACGCGGTCCAACCAGCTGGCCCCTGCGTTCCCGTGCCAATAGGTTGTTCTTTATCACTATTTGTTGCTTGTGCACAGCTTGGACAAGCAGCAGAACTGAGAGTTTTCAAAGGGAATGAAAAACAAGCCTGAGAAAGTCTCTTATCTGGAAATGAAAGGCCTTTAAAACAACACGGATCGTTAGGATGGCATTTGGGATTTGTGTGGGACCCACCTCCCCAGCCCATTGCTGCTGGGGGGCTCATTCTGCAGCATGTCACATTCTCCTGAAGGGACATCACAGGGCACAGCATCCCTGGGAAGCCAGCAGGACCCCCAGCACGTCCATCCCGTGTCCCACAGTGAGCAGGGCTGCAGAACATCACATCCAGCTGCCTCTTGTGGCCTCCCAGCTCAGAGTGAAGCATAAGAGGGAATCAAGGCACACTTAATAAGTAAAGAAACAAATAAATAAGAAGAGGAGTCTGAGGCAAAGAGAAGGGACAAAAAATGATGAAAATGACAGGATGAGTGAAAACTGGACACACCTGAGGTGTGATAAGGGGAGGGGTTGACTAAGTCAAAAAAAAAAAGGCAAATTTGATATATTCTGTTCACAGAGCCACACATAGCCCTGTTTAACAGGTTTTGCTGCCTCCAGCATTTCCTGGGCATCTGCCACGTAGATCTGGGCTGCCTCTCCATCCAAACAAATGGGATTGATTAAATCCTATCACACTCGCAAGGATTTCTACAGGCAGGCTGTT